TGACACTCATAGCATAGTATGGGGAAGGTAAATGGTCGGAGCTAGAAAAGCTCAATCTTATACACATAGGCTTTGCATATGTTCTGGAGCAGGGAAGGGCTCGGGTAAATTGTATGAATGGACATCATCTAAATTAATGGCATGGTATGTTATATTCCAACCTTGACTTACTTAAGTGTTAGTTAAAATGATTATTTTTGTTAAATGTTACATGTGAACATTGCATACGCACTTAGATTGAGGAGTAGCCTCTATAGGAAGCATTCTACAGGGCGTTGGCTCACCCTATACGGAAAACATTTCAGATGCGGGATTCGTACCGGTGGAGGATTCACATACGGGGCCTCAACGATGAAGAAAAGCCGGTTTGTGCCTTTTGAAAGCAAGTTTTTGTAAACCTTTTGTAACATTCTATTTTAAGCATGTAATTGTGTAAATGGGTTTGTAACCATATGGAATTAATTGTAATAAAATTGGTATGTATCAAGTCTTATGTGAAAAACAATACTTTACATGTTTGGGATATTTGTGGAAAGGTTTGGAATGAATTGGAAATGAAAAATAGGTGAAACAAAAATTTATGGATAAAACCATCCAGAAGGTCTTCATATTCTTCACAAAATAAGGAATCCAGTGTGCAACTTCTTCCGGAAGGTTTGAACACACCTTCCGGAAGGTTGACACATCTTTATTCAAGATAGGATTCTAGTAAGCAAAATCTTCCAAAAGGTTGGGGAAACCTTCCGGAAGGTCAACCTTCCAAAAGGTTTATGAAGACCTACCGGATGGTCGATGAAAAATCTTTGAAGGAACTTTTTCAGTAAGTAAAACTTTCCGGAATGTCAAGCGAAACCTTCCAGAAGGTTTTTCAAAAATCTGAAAATTTAAGAATGCATTGCCATGCTTTTGGGCTATGTGTTTTTTGGTTCCAATGATACAATTGGACCTTAAATGAGATACATTGTGGTATATTAAACCTCGATGAGATTAAATGATTAAAGAAAACACGATCCTCCTATGGGTTGTAATCCCAGTTAGAGGGATGTGATAAACGTGATGCCAAAATGGGCAACAATCACGGGTAATTCTACGGGTTGATGGGTGATCAACGGGTTAACAAAAGAACCCCCGGATTTTGGGCATCACAAACCAAATTCTAGTTGGAGCAAGAAGGAAGAGAAATCAGATTCTAAGGGTAAGGCTGAATCTTCCAACAAAAGGCAAAGACTTAGAGGTTAGCAAGGAGCAAGGTAAATCTGATTCTCAAACTTCTAGAAATAGAGATATAAAATGCTTTTAAGTGTTTGGGCAAGGGGCACATTGCATCTCAATGTCCAAATAAATGTGCTATGATTTTGAGAGGTAATGGTGATTTTGAAACTGAAAGTGAATCTGATGACGATGTTGAGAGTAAGGAGAGTGAAGGAGAGGAATATCCAGTTGAAGGTGAAATTTTGGTCACGAGGCGTGCCTTGAATACACAAGTGAAGGATAAGGACAACGAGGCACAACATGACAACATCTTTCATACTCACTGCCATATCAATAATAAGGTATGTAGTGTTATCATTGATGGTGGGAGTTGTGCTAATGTTGCTAGTACCTTATTAATTAAGAAACTTAATTTGCCTACTATTAAACACCCCTACTCTTATAAGTTGCAGTTGTTGAATGATTGTGGGGAAGTTAAGGTGAATAGGCAAGTATTAGTTTCATTTTCCATTGGGCGTTATGTTGATTAGGTTTTGTGTGATGTAGTCCCAATGCCTGGTGGTCATTTGCTTTTGTGACGTCATTGGTGGTTTGATAGGCGAGTTATGCATGATGGTTATAGAAATAGATATTCTTTTGTAATTCATGGCAAACCTGTAACACTTGCACCGTTAACACCTAGACAGGTGTATGATGATCAAACGAGGTTAAAAAATGAACATGAGGGAAGAAAATAGAGTAAGAATGAAAAGAAAGAGGGAAATACTGTGAAAGTGGAAAAAAATGTGAATGAGGTAAAAAAAGAGAGGTTGTTGGATCTACAAAGAGTGAAAAGAGTGAGAGTTCACAAAAGTAAGAGAGGAAAAATGTGAGTTTCTATGCAAATGAACGTGAGGTTAAGCGAGCTTTTTATTCCGGGCAGTAGATGATTGTACTTCTGTACAAGGAGGCCTTTTTGAATACTAAGGAGCTTAACCCTGCTTTGCCTAGTGTTGTTGATTCTCTTTTGCAGGAGTTCAGTGATGTTTTTCCCGAGAAGATTCGAAATGGCTTGCCACCAGTTAGAGGGATTGAACACCAGATTGATTTTCATTCCTGGTGCAACGATTCCCAATCATCCAGCTTACGGAGTAATCCTGAGGAGACAAAGGAGCTTCAAAGGCAAGTTGAAGATCTGATGGTGAAGGGTTATGTGAGGGAGAGCATGAGTCCTTGTGCAGTTCCAGTGTTGCTTGTGCCTAAAAAGAATGAGTCTTGGAGGAGGTGCATCGATTGCCACGTCGTGAACAAAATGATGGTAAAGTATCATCATCCTATTCCTAGACTTGATGACATGTTAGATGAATTGCATGGCGCTTGTTTGTTTCGTAAGATTGATTTGAAATTTAGCTATCATCAAATTAGGATGAGAGAGGGTGATGAATGGAAAATGACATTTAAGACTAAATATGATTTATATGAATGACTGGTAATGCCTTTTGGCTTAACCAATGCACCTAGTATGTTTATGCATTTAATGAACCATGTTTTGCTTACTTTTATTGGTAAATTTGTTGTCAATTATTTTGATCATATCTTGGTTTATAGTAAGAGCTTAGATAAGCATGTTGAACATTTGAGGCTGGTGTTATGTTCTTTACGTGATGCTCAGTTTTTTGCTAACATTAAGAAATGTCTATTTTGCACTAGTCAGATTGTTTTCTTAGGATATGTTGTTATTGTTAAGGGCATTGAGGTTGATGAGGAAAAGGTTAAGGCTATTCGAGAATGGCCTACACCTAAAACCATTCCTGAGGGCTTTCATGGTCTTGCTAGTTTTTATAGAAGGTTTGTAAAGGATTTTAGCACCATAGTTGCACCATTGAATGAAATTGTTAAGAAAAGCGTAGGTTTTAAATGGGGAAAGAAACATGAAGTTGCTTTTAATTTGATTAAAGAAAAACTTAGTTATGCACCTTTACTTGCTTTGCCTGACTTTTCTCAAACTTTTTGAAGTTGAGTGTGATGCCTCAAGTATTGGAATTGGAGCCATTTTAATGCAGGGAGGTTGTCCTTTAGCTTATTTTAGTGAGAAGTTAAATGGGGCAGCCTCGAATTACCCGACTTATGATAAAAAGCTTTATGCATTAGTGAGGACGTTATAGACTTGGCAACATTACCCGACTTGGAGCATTATGTCTAATCACGATGCTAAGTTTTTGAGCTATTTCTGGAAGATGTTGTGGGGTAAGCTTGGTACTAAATTACCCTTTTCTACTACTGGCCATCCACAAACAGATGGGCAAACCAAGGTAACTAATCGTACTCTTTCTACTTTATTGCATGCTGTCATTGGTAGGAATTTGAAAACTTGGGAGGATTGTTTACCTCATGTCGAATTTGCTTATAATCGTAATGTACATTCTGCTACTAACTATTCACCTTTTGAAATTGTCTATGGTTTTAATCCCTTAACTCCATTAGATTTGATGTCTTTGTCTGTTGATGAGTGTGCTAATTTAGATCGAGAACGAAAGGCTAAATTGTCGAAGCAATTGCATGAGAAAGTTAGATTGCACATTGAGAGGCGAATGAAGCAATATGCTACTCAAGCTAATAAGGGGCATAAGAGGGTGGTTTTTGAGCTTGGAGATTGGGTTTGGGTGCATATGCGAAAGGAGCGTTTTCCTGCACAAAGGCGTTCTAAGTTGCAGCCTAGAGGAGATGGGCCTTTTCAAGTGGTGGCATAGATAAATGATAACGCTTACAAACTAGATCTTCCTGGTGAGTATAGTGTTAGCGCTACTTTTGATGCTACTAATCTTTCTCCTTTTATTGCAGATGACAGAGATTCGAGGACGAACCCTTTTGAGAAGAGGGGAAATGATGTGATGCAATCTGATCCGTTGAGCATAAATGGAAGTCCTATGACTCAGGCGAAAGTAAAAAAGATGAAGGAAGCATTGAACGGGCTAATTCAAGACATATGGGCTGATTGTGCAAGTTCAAGCATGGAGAGTGCATTTGGAGACTTTTTCTACCATCGTATGCGTAGGCTTTAAGGGAAAAAGGCCTCAAGTTTATTTTAATGTAATTCCAGTCCTACAAACCTGATTAAGTGGTTGTATGTGCTGATTTAGGTTATTTCGGGATTTTAGGCTAATTACTTGTTTTAAGCCCAACTTTAGTTATTCCTATTTGAGTTTGGATTGTCAAAATATAAATTCCTATTATTGTTAGGCCTTTAAAGGGGCAGAATTGCTGAGTGTTACGTTCTCCTTAGCAGATTAGGATTTGTTTCCTTTTCTTATTTGGATTAAGACAACTTAGCTAAAAAGTAGGAATGGTTTTGACGTGTTTTAGGGCTTTATATGCACACATAAGACCTTGTACAATACAAAATATCATTTTTATGAGTATTGTGAGGTTTTCTACCTTATTGTTCTTCCAAGAACTATTTCAAGAACTTATCAAGAATCAATCTTTCTTGTGACGTTCATTGACTTATCGCTCAATCTCGAGTGAGGCGTCTTTTTCTTGAATTTTTAACCCTGGGTTCTTGTTTCTAGAAAACATTGAGTCTAGGGTTGTTGGTTCTTATAATCTAATTTGTGAACTTTCTTAGAAATTCTTCAATGAATTTGCGTGTGGGTTCTTGAATTAGTTTAAGGGTTCCCATCAAATAGTAAAGATAACATCAGAGCATATTAAGCAAATGCCATGACAACCAAACCTTATGAAAAAGTATAAGAAATATAATTTTTGTTGCAATGTATGTTACACCATGTGATTTACACATAGAATCATCACACACATTGAGATTAAATTTCAATGAAAATACAGCTGAATCACTTTAAAATGACAGAATTAGCTTTAATATTGAAGGTAGATCAGCCTGAAAAGCCTGTCAATTTACAGTTTCAACACAATACCAGATGGTCTTGACTGGCAGAATAATCCAATCCAAAACTTCAATCATGAGACAGTTACAAGAGCTCAAAGGAGATTCGTCATGCAGCAAATATCTGTTCCCATATGAATATCCATGTCCTCCATGAAGAAAGAAAAGAGTCAGAACATCATCAAATTTGTGGCTGTCCCAACCACAAAAGGTTCCATTAATAACCGCGTCAAGAAATAAAACATAATTCCAAGTGCAATAGAAATGGGGAGAGCTGGTAAAGCATGACGGCAAACAGCCAACAAAATAAGAGTGCACCCAAGTCCCGATATAATCGCAAGGTAACAAGCATACACAGTCATCAGATCATACATCGCAGCTCTGCCCACTAGCACACTGTAAAAAACAAAGTCTCCCAGACCAAGTTTTATACCCCGGCTTGTTGGCACAGAGCTATCCGAACCCTCCCTCCTAGTCTGATCTCTCTCTCCATTCCCTATACCCATCAACTCAACAAGTGGAGACATTTCCTCATCAACAACTATCTCAGACCGCCTATATCTATCATTGGAAGCCGAATGCTCAGTCAAGTGGACCTCAAAAGAAGACTCCCCACTCGATGAGTCCCTCTCCCACAAATTAGGCACCAAAGGAGATGTTTCCCCTTCATCTATAGCAATCTCAAGCTCATCATTTTGAATCTCAACCGAGGTATACTCAGATGAATGACTCGGATTTTGACTCTCATTGTTTTGTGAGACAACCTGCAGTTCAACTGACCCCTCACTAGAATCCGATACCCCAGCAACCAAAAGCCCTAAGCTAGACCCCCGATTCCCCGGAACAGTTGGCCTGGCCTCATAGACCAAAGCCGGAAGCTCCTCATCCCTGCTGGAGGCCAGTTCAACCAAAATCTTTAAAGGCCCCCCTGGTGCCAAAACCGCCACCAGATCATACACAGCCAATGCCACCAACAAGACCCAAGTGGTCCATTCGGGCAACTTAGTAAACCAAGCAGCCACAATTATCCCCAAAAGCACCATATAAACTTGCCTTAAGAGAATCGGAATCCCATCGGAGAAAACTGAGAGCACACCCACAATGGTAAAGTTGAAAAGCAGCACAAAACAGGTGATGGAGTCGATGGGTATGGAGAAATGCTGGATAATTGACAGAAAAATGGAGCCACCCATGGTGGCGAGGACGAAGAAGGCGGAGAAGCGCATGTAGTTCTTTAGGAAGTTTGTGAAATTGTAGTAGTAGAGGACGACCAAGAGAAACGTGACGATGGCGATGAGGATGATAAAGACCAAGGCGTTGAGGAGTGCGCCTTCAAGCTTTTGGGAGGCTGAGTCGGTGGGCGATTCAAGGTAAACGAGGGTTGCGGCGGAGCGAATGGGAGAGGAGGAAGAGGGGGAGGAGAGAGAGTAGACGAGGAGGACGACTAGGAGCATGCAGACGGAGACTGGGGACATCACGCCGATGATTTCCAGGCCGATTGATGACAATATACTGTCTTCCATGATTGGGGAATTTTGGCGAATGGGTTGTGGCTGGTGATTTTGGTTAGGGCACCTGGAGGGGAATTGCAAGACTTTTCTGGACAGAGATGGGAAAGGAGTGTCCCACTTAAGAGCCCTGGTTTTTTTTTTTTTGGAGAGATTTACACGTATATTCTCTTAAATTTGACGCTTAATACCCACTGATATTGAAAATATTACATACAAATTTTCTGAGATTTATCCGTGCATAGTACGTTGACCCTTGCTTTAAATTTATCAGTCAATAAATTATATTTAGATCTCGATAAAATTTGTGAGTATATAATATTTAGACCCTTTAATTTTAAAATATTATACTTAGACAAAAAATATTATAATTAAAGATTAAATATCAAATATTTTAAATTTTACAACCAAAATTCATACTCTATTATATTATTTATTGAAATAAAATCAAAAATAAAAATTAAATTTTTTCTTAAAAAATTGTAATTAGTATATTATCTATTGGAAAATAATTTGATCGTTTAAACGATCAAATTAAAATACCAATTAAAGTTAAAAGATATTATATGCATTATAGTGCGATCCCTTGTTTAATTTTTTAATTTTATTCTAATAGATAGTATAATTATATACTAACTATAACTTTTTTTAAAAAAATTAAACTTTTATTTTTGAATTTATTTCAATAAATAATATAATAGAACATGAATTTTAGATGTACAATGCATGTTCTATTTTGAATGACTTAGACATCTTATTTGATTTTTTAATTTTATTCCAATAGATAGTATAATTGTATACTAATTACGATTTTTTAAGAAAAAATTAAAATTTTAATTTTTAAATTTTATTTCAATAAATTATACAATAAAATATAAATTTTGGTTGTAAAATTTTAAATATTTGATATTCTATATTTGATTAGAGTATTTTTTGTCTAAGTATAATATTTTAAACTTAAAGGGTCTAAGTATGATATACTTACAAATTTTAGAGGGTATAAGTATAATTAATTATTTGATATATTTACACCACAGGTCCAAGTGTTACGCGCGTACAAATTTCACGCGGTCTGTGTGTAATATTTCAAATATCAGAAGGTTTGAGTGATTAAGTGACAAATCTCAGGGAATCTGAATGTAATTCTTCCTTTTTTTTGTTGGGGAGGGGGGTAGTATAGGGGTTTGAAATTGCCAAAGGGAGGGGGAATGATGACTTGAGAGATCTTAAGAAATTAGTTTTATAGACAACGGAAGTTCCAAGGGCATGTTTGAATAAAGGGATAAATGGGGTTAACACCCATAAGGATAGGGTAAATAAGGTAGTGGGTCCCATTTATTCTTTGTTTGGGAAGTATTTTTTGAGGCTGGATAACAATCCTGGGTCAAACCTTGACCCGGTTGCAACAGTAGCATTTAACCCCTATAGACCGGTTTCAATTAACCCAGCCCCCCAATGGGTTACAAACCCAAGCCAAGGGTTATCCCCCCAGACATATTTGCCCCTCTCTCTTTCTCCACCAATTCAGCCATTAATCTTTCTCCTGAGCTTGTCAACTTCAGCCACTCATCCCTTTCTCTTTCTCCTGAGCTTGTCAACAACAGCCACTCATCCCTATCTTTTTCTCCAGCCTTCGACTTCTCCAAATCAAGCACTCGAATAGGTACACGACACCCACAGATCTAGATCTCGAACATCAGATCTTGAACACCATTAAGAGATGTTGGGTCTTGTCTTTTTCTCTTATTCTCTTTGTCTACATGCGCACACACACAGTCAATATGAATGTAGAGGGTGGTTTTTGGTGATAAGGGCTAAGATTAGCCTGCTTTGCTGCCCCTAGAGCTTCTGCCTTTGAAGATAAGAGTTGATTTGTTTGAAATTCCTTGGAAGAAAAAAGATGCTTATGATGAAGATTTTGGACTTGGGGAGGTGCTGCTTACTTTATATGGGTTTTGCTGAGTTTTTTGTTTGTTTCTTTTGAGCCTTATTGAGTTTGGTTGTTCTTTCATTGTGCCTTGCTTTTGAGTTTGGTTGTTATAAAAGGTGTTTGTTCCTTATTTCTTTCTTGTAATTTTTTGTTCTGTGAATAAATAAAATTTCCTTTCGTTAAAAAAAAAAAAGTATTTGTAGCTTTTCCCTAGTCAATAGGTGAGATGCTACATTAATTGTTTATTGTTTTGGCCTTTTTTTCTTAATTTATGTCTAAAATGTTTAGGCATTATTTTGGAGTTGATGGCGTCAAAGTTGCAAGAACTGTAATTCAAGGCATGCCAAGCTTCACAGTTTGTGACAAATGTGTAATTTTATTAGGATAATTCACCAATCCAAACATAGGATGGGATAAGATTTTGATTGGATTGTTTTATAGTAGATAGAATCATAGGTAGAATACTAAATTTGTAACGCTCCAAAAATTACCTTGGACGACATTACAATTTAAAACCATTCACATCCAGAGAGCAACTAATCAAATCTATCAATAAATAAAATTTCATTCATCATATCTAATATTTACAACATCATCTCAAAAGAATATGCCCAACCATGACAATTACATCCAAAAGAATCAAGTTTAATTTGCAGCATAATAACAAAAGATTAGACTCTACATCGTCTCAAAAGGAATTTCCTGGTCTAGTACATAGGGGAGTACAACCCTAAATATCCACTTCGGGATCCACGTGCCCATCTAGTGGAGCTTTCCATTGTACCTGCGCTTCGCTTCCGAGTTCTTCCTCTAAGCCAAAATTTGAAAAATATGATGTTGTAGGGGGTGAGCACTAAGCTCTATAGCAACATCCTCCCAAACTCAAACAAGAGTTAGAAAAATATGTAAAACAAGTCGGTCTCATTTCGCAAATATTATATATTAATTTTTTTTGAAAGAAAACAGAAATATTTCAATAGAACTCAAGTTTACACAATAGCCATAAATTAAGTGAAGTAATAACGCCAAGTTACAAATAACACATCATTTCCAATCATAAACCATTTCCCATAAGTTCTTGTAGAATCTCATACTTCCACAAGCTCTTGTAAAAAACCGTTTCTGATACAATAAACCATAAATCCACAACTTGTTTTCGTATCTCAGGTATGATGCATGATTCGCATGAATAAACACATCGAGAACATCCTGGCCCACACACACAAACTCAAATCCTCATAAGGATATCCAACCTTTAGGAAGGACGTATACCAACTCATGGCAGTGATGAATCCAACCTAGGAATAGTATACTAACCCTTAGCCTCGATAACACGTGAGCCAATAGTAGTTTGGTCCTCGCAAGGCACCAACCCCATTACGAGTGATAGGGAACCTTCAAATCCACACGGAGTAAGAAACGCATATAACCCACTCTACGATATCCGGTCAATGGCTACCCATGGTCATCCAAACATCCACAAGAGATACAATATTCAATCAATTTCTCCAATCACAAATACATTCAAAAATTCCCAAATTTCACAAGTAGCATTCCAATAGAACAATTTAAGAAAATATGCAAGAGATCATCATAAATACCATTTTGTGGTTCAATATAAAGCACTAAAGTTTTGAAATCAAGAACAAAGGAAAAATTAAGAGAAAAATTCATTTCTCTTGTAAACTAGGGTTTTGAGTCAAGAAGAAGAGATTTAATAGTTATCCCACCATAAATTTGTTTAAAACATGATAGTGTTTGCACGAATATCAAGAATCAATGATTTATTAACAAAAAAATAAGATTTAGAGTGAACAGAATACATATAAGTAAACCCTAACCTCAATGTAAGAGAATAGGAAGAATCTCCTACCTTCTTCTTCCTTGGTTTTGTGTGAAGAACTTGAGATTTGATCTTTCCCCAACTTGAATCCACTCTTAATCTCTTGTTTTTCTCCTCCTTTCTTCCTTTCTAGGACTTTCTAGGGTTAAAAATGTTGAAATGGGACTAATGGAGGCATCATTATGTATTTATAGGGTGAAAAGTGGACCCCAGATTGCGACTTAAATTTTTGGAACTTACAGAGCATACCGGTACGCAGTACTAGTACGGTCTGTTCAGTTTTGCTTGTTTTCTTTGTTTTTTTTTTATTTCTAATCCATTCCAAACCTTTCTAAAACCAACCCAAACTTATACAACATACATTTGGACATCAAACATAGTTGGTACAATTTCGATTACAAAATATTTCATATATTTACTTGCTACTTATGAAAATAAAAGTGTGGGGGTTTACAAAATTATTACAAAATTGTTGGTGTCATTTATGGGACCCACCGAATTACACATTTGTTCCCAAACAAGGGTTTGGATTGGATATACTTCAAGGTTAGGGATTTAAGGTGGATGAGTGGGTTTGAGTTGGATTGGTTAGGATATATATAAAAAAAATCCTATCTTATCCTAACCCATTACCCAAACACACCCCAAGACTCATTTCAAAACGTCGAACTTGTTGTTCTCTTTTCTTCATTTGAACTTGATAATTACTGTATTAAAAAAAAAACATTGATAATCAATCAACATACGCGTAGATATCAAGATGATTCAGACTTTGCATCATAATGTGTCATAGATATCATTATTTATCATATATAATATCATCTCTAATAAAAACTTAAATTTTTATCTAAATCTAAATAAATAAAAAAATTAAACTCAAATTTAAAGGAATAAAAATTCAAATTTAAATGATGATAAAATATAATCATTAAATCTTTAAAGAAGGATGAAATCTCACAATAAATATTTGAGTATAGATTTGCATATCCCTTGATTTGAGGATGAAATCTTAATTTGATCACCATTTGGTGATCATTATTTTCGACATGGAATTGCCTCAATTCATTTGGATACATAGTCTACAACCACTAAAATGTATAGATAGCCAAAGAAAGGGGCAAATGGTTCCATAAAATCAAAGCCCCAACAGTCAAAAATTTCAACCACCAGAATGGGATTCAAGGGCATCATGTTTCTTTTTGAAATGCTTCCCAACCTTTGACATCTATCGCAATTTAAACAAAAAACATGGACATCTTTGAAAAGTGTGTGCCAGTAAAATTTGCACTGTAAGATTTTTGCAGCGGTTTTTCTTGAGGAGAAGTGACCACCACATGC